CCCTTTCATCACTCTGTTACACAATTAGTGAATATGATAATTTTATTAATTATATAAATAACGATATGAATGGTTGAAATTTAAAATATTTAAATAAATTATTTTCTTAAGATTAGAATGTCTTTGCATCACTCTTCTCAGAGAATCTGTTATGAATATTGTTATTTTCATCAAATAATATAGCAAAAGAGTCCATCACATACTTGTTGAATAAAAAATTTCCTTGCTAAGCTGAACACAATTAGAACAAAATAATAAAATATTATTTTTATTAAAAAATGAATGAAGATTCAAAAATATTTACCGGAAAGAATTCTTCTCTTTTCAAAAGTATTATCAGCATTCTCATCGGATCTTTGATCGATATCGTGGGGGTATATTAGCATTAAACACTTTCTCGAATGAATCCATCACATATTATTTGAAAGAGTCAAATTTCCTTCTCAACTGAACAGAGTTCAAAAATAAAATTATTTATTAGTAAAATATTAATTGTCCATCCACAAATATAATTTGAAAACAAACATACCTTTTCAAGGTCACTCATCTTATATCTTTCCTCCCAAATGCTGTGATTATTGGGGGCATTACTATTTATATTTGTTTGCTGCTGGTTGTTGCTCCTTTTCGGAGGTGGCGTTATGAAATCAAATTCATTGACATTAACTTCACAAACATCCTCAGAAACAACACCTTTTTGTATAACATATTCAACATTCATGGGAAAATATATTGCACCTAACTCATTCACGATTGCAGAAATATTTGTAAATACCAACTACATTAAACAAAAAAGTCAACAATTTATGATGGTAAGTACAAAAATTCTGCGTGAATATTATTTATCAAGCATCATACAATGAATATTATTATGCATAGATATGTGTATCATTGTGTTTTAGTGTAAATCTAAAAATATCACAATTATTTTAGCATATGTACAAAATATTAAAGTACAAATATAAATTTCATAATGTTACCTTGTTCCTTGATTCTCCCAACATGTCGTTGCATAATTTCTCAAAGCTAGGCCTTTCTGCTAAATTCCAATTTAGGATGCGTGACACTCTTGCAACACGAGTGACAATATTGGGGTCTACTTCAGAACAATACTCATAAATTCAAATCTGCAATGCAAGTGGTAAACCGCCAAACCTATGAAACTTCTTTACGAATCTGAACTTATTTCTCACCGAACCAATCAAATCTTCAAATACAATATTTCCCCATGGAAACTGCTCGTATTCCCCACTCTCAATTAAATAAAAATCTCGATTACTTACAAAGGATTTTTTACTAATTGTGAAAAATAAGAATGTGTATATGAAGTACAATAACGAAATATTTAGAGCTTCATTACCGGACAACCATCTCTTTACCATAAAATAATTAATAAGGTCGTCCTTTGATACTCTATCACGACCGGGAAAGAAGGCATCTTTGAGCCTATTTGATCCACTATAAGTTCCCTCATCGTTGATCTCACCAACACACCTTAGTTCAGATATAACTGCAAATTTTCAAATCCCAAAACACATGGTACTATGATTGATCTTGACGTAAAACTCATGATCACTACCTTGAAACAACTCCCTTGACATTAAGAACCGTATGACTTGATTCTAAATAAAAACAGGAAGCAAATCGAGAAAATAACCGAAACAAGTTTTCCTAAACATTTGAATCTGCTCATCAGTCAATTTTGACTTTAACTCATCAACAACCTTAATATTGGTATGTGAGCTCCAACGAGAAGTTGATAATTTTGTATCTAATGCGACATAAAATTTTTATTTCTACATTAAAAATATATATTAATTATACTAAGCCATATATGTAGAAAGTGAACATCATTAAATTCTCCACATCTACACATTTTCAGAAAGAATAGTTCAATACCTTTTCATAAATCTCCAAGCTGCTGGATTTTAACAGAATTCAAATATAAAAGAAAAGATACTAATACTAAATAAAAAAGAATAATGAAAAAAGATGTAGTCAAGTATAGGGGTTCAATCACTATACATAAATGTTCTGTGTTAAACATGAAAGGGGAAAAAGGAAAGTTTAGTGTTAAAATTCACTCTGAACATGGTGGGCACTATAAGCAGATCATCTGCCAATTCCTAGACCACGATATAGAGCTAAAACACCCAAAGTCATTATGTAAACACGATATTAAGCTAACTATACAAAATGCGCAACATTCACTCAAGCATTAATAATGGCAAATCTAATTTTTCTATTCTTACAGAAAATTCAAAGGAATTAACAAGAACTGATAGCAAAAAAAAAAAAAAAAAAATGCCCA